TTTGTTGGGAGACTTACTGTGAGCATACACTAGAGTGGAGAAGGAGAACCAGAAGATCATTCCAACTTGCTTGTGACGAGGACCTTGAAACTCTTTGTTTACGCCATGTTCAAGTACCCAGATCACAAAGCCAATGAAGATGAAGAAAGCCCCAGTTGTCACCCAAAGTTCTGTCCTCAGAGGTCTCAAGAAAATCCAGGCACTCTTCCTCATATCTTGCTTCACTGGGACAACAGTGGTAACTCCAGATTCTGTGAATGGTAATGAGAATTCAACGTATTCAGACCTGTGTGCTAGGATGGTCACATCACCAACTACTGCATCAAAATTCTGTTGAAATCCAAGAAATTCAAGTGCAATGTGGACATGTGGTTAGCATTCATCAACAGACAACATTCAACAGACATGAAAGCAGAAGATATGAAAGCACAAGCAATAGTATTACCCCGAGATTTATCTGGTCAACAAAATCGTCATAGTCTGGAAGGTTTTGTGTGGGGAGCAAACTAAAAGGTATGTAATCAAATGGAACTGCATAAGGTAAATTCCTAATAACTTCTTCAAAAACATCTATGCAGAAACCAGTAGCAGTTATTCTGTTTGTCTGAGGATCCACCGTCACTTTAACGAATTGTTCAAGCCCTCCTTTAGATGGAACTCCAATTCTCAACTTCTTTTTCTCATTTGTTGGAATTTCCCAGCCTTTAGGAACAACGCTAGAGTCACCCGGCCAGCTGATCCCAAGACCATCCCTGTTAGCTGTGATCACAGTTCTGTCAGTAGGTTTCAGTTTCTTGGAAATCCCATACTCTTCTGTCCAGAATCCAATCCCTTTCCCTCTGCCATTCACATTCACTATCTGAAATGCAGATGGCTGCAACTCTCCATCAACAATATGGAAATCACCACTTAGCCCTCTGAGTCTAATGTTTCTGATTGATTTAATGAGTGAAGGCCCCAAATCTGAGGTCCCAATTGCATCTAAGTCTGTCAAATTCTCTCCACTGACCGGTCTCGTGAAATTTTGATGGGCAGTATCTACTCTCTCGAACGCCATAGCTAATGCTGTCATGCTGTCATATGCCCACAACCCGAAAACATCTAGTTCTGCTGTCTCCGCGTCTGGATTCTCTTGATAAAACTTCTTTCTCCATCTCCTAGTGAAGTTTTTCAGCTGAATTGATGCTTGCACATAAGGCTTTACACCTATCACTCCCTCCATATTATCAAGCGTCGTAGGGTCCATAGAATCTAAAACATTCGTGAAAGCATCTGTGATTATCCACACATATCCCTGGCTCATCATCCCAGCATCTTTCGCCTTCTGAAAAAGGCGAGAACCAATTGTTGGCAGCAAGTGCACAACAAACACCCTAGTCTGCATTGTCATTAACTTGTAGAGTTCTGTGATGATTTCATCATCTTCAGCTGAAGGCTGGAGAATACTTCTGTATGGTACAGAAACACCAACTTCCACCATGGCATCTGTCAAATGAGGAAGAACCCCACTCCCAAAATTACTATTCTCATATATAAACACCACCCCCCTCCACCCAAAAGCCTTAACAATGGCAGCAATGGCTTTAACCTGAGCGCGAGAACTCTGCGCCACTCTGATGAAGTATGAACTTTGGTTGGGTGAAAGTGCAGGACTTGTTGCTGGAGATAGTATGGGAACTTTCACTTTCTTCCCAATATCTATCACAAAATCTGCCTGTGTTGACATCTGAGGCCCCAAGATTGCTTGAACCTTATCATTTCTCAACAGGCCTATAGCTGCACAGACATTGATCAAAGTTTAGAATCTCATAATACAACCCTAGCCAAGTTGGTCAGGTTGTTAACCTAGTAACCACAAAGTTACAAGTTCAACTCTCAGTGGAACCAACCTATTGACTTTTTTGGTTTGAGTTGGTTAGTTAGGGACGACCTAGGCTAGTTTACTTCCTTGTGGTCCTTATAGCTAAGGTCCCGGGTTTATCCAGTGCAGTTGCTGTCGGCTAGGGTCTTAATGACGGGTTTATCTACTTTTGATTTGAGCTACCTAGACTTATTTACCTCATTGTGGTCATATGTTGGCTAGGGTCACAAGGCCGGGTGTATCCAGTGCAGTTGTTGTCGGCTAGGGTCATAATGCCGGGTTTATCTGCTTTTGGTTTGAGCTACCTAGACTTATTTACCTCATTATGGTCATTTGTTGGCTAGGGTCACAATGCTGGGTTTATCCAGTGCCATGGCTGCTGGCTAGGATTACAATGACAGGTTTATCTAATGTAGTGGCTGCGGGTTTGCCTCATCATCAAGAAAAAAAAAAAGCATATGAAAATTTATAAACTGACTTGTTTTGAACATATACCTGCAGATGCTGCATCAACATCATCATTATTTGAGTCTCTGAAGTGGGGGAAAATCCGGGCTCTGTGATCGCGAGTGGCATAGAAATCAGCAAGAGCTAGTGAAATACAGGTCTGCCTCATCTTCCCAGACTCGGTTTTCAAATCAAGAATCACACCAACATCTACCTTTACAGCACTGGAATTCTGGGCAGAAAGTGATGTTGTGTAAAAGGTGGTGATGATGATGATGGAAGCCTTAAGCAGAAAAGGTAGAAAGAATCTTGAAATCTTCATTTTAGCTTTCTAATAAAGAATCATAGGCTGTTGTATGGGTTTTGAACTTTTGATTGTTGGGTTATATGGGTTTTGATTGGTGGGTAAGGAATCAACTGTAAGGAGGCTGGACAGTGACAGTGTTCGTTGTCTCAGTCTCCAGACGTAAGCGCGTGGATAGAATACGTCAATAGTCAACATCAAGATTATTGATAGAATCCCACGTCAAAGAACATAAAGTTCTACTATATAAACTCTCAAAATTCTACTCCCTGAGGTAACAAATCATGATTGGTTATTTTCATCATACGGGTTCGTTGAAAAGTGTGTAACATCAAAAGCATATGAGAGGAAGTACAAGGTGAGAGTTTAAAATGGGAGTACACTAAATATTGATGTAAATATTTTTATTAGAATTCACTTAAAAAAATTAACTCAATAAAACCCGTCACATCAGAGAATAAGATTTGAAAGTACATGTAATAATAAAACTCTTTTATTTTATCCATAAGACGAAATTTCTTCGCCACACACCTTACCTTCCAAAGACGAAATTTATTTGTGGGTAAAACTCTTACATGTAGCTATCAAGATTTAATTATGTATTCTTACCCATAATTTATTACCTTGTAAGTCAACTGAGCTGCCTTGCTTGCCCATGCGGGCAGTTAAATTTTATTTTATTTTAATATTTGCTTGCCTTACGTGCATTATGACTCCAACTTAGAATGAAAGTGACAAATTTAAGCTGCTATATTTATAACAATACGATTAGCTAATATAATACAATTTGGAGGAAGAATAATGGTTGAAAAAAATAGCTTACATGTAGCTATCAAGATTTAATTATGTATTCTTACCCATAATTTATTACCTTGTAAGTCAACTGAGCTGCCTTGCTTGCCCATGCGGGCAGTTAAATTTTATTTTATTTTAATATTTGCTTGCCTTACGTGCATTATGACTCCAACTTAGAATGAAAGTGACAAATTTAAGCTGCTATATTTATAACAATACGATTAGCTAATATAATACAATTTGGAGGAAGAATAATGGTTGAAAAAAATAGCTTAAAGTGACATTTAAAATGCATAGTTTAAGGTATAATTTTGATTTTTGATTAGGGTTGTGTTAAAATGGATTTTGATTTTTTTAGTGATGATAAATTTGATATATTATTTGCTCAAAATAGATAATGAGTCCATGAAAATTTAATCTTCAAAGTGTACTCATCAAGTTGAAAAAAAAGTGAATTTTTGTAAAGTACAATTGTCTTATTCCTGAAAAAATATGTGGATTTATTCGAGTATAAATGCAATTTAACTTTCTTAAGATGTTGAATTGTGTAACATAGAGACTCTCTAAAATCATATTTATTAGCACTTGAAAAGTGTGGAATACAATAAATTTATTCCATTGTTTAGTTCCTATTGATTGACCTTTTCGGTTTGAGTTAGCTATGTATGATACTTTTTAACCTCTTAGGCTATTTACCTTCTTATAGCCTTTTGTAAGTTTTGTCAGCTATGATCACAATATAGACTTTACATAGAGTATACTTTCAAGACGGTTAATTTTATCATAAATCAAATATATTCTCTTACAGTAAGAGCTTATCAAATGGTCAAATATATCTATTTTCATACTATTTTATTTTCATTTCTAACTTAGTTCGTGCATTAATTTTAGTTGCTCTAAATCTTGAAAACGAAGAGCTGGGCGACTGGTTATGATTCGGCTTGACTTATTCAAGCCGACTTTTAACGCTGTTGGCACAACATGTAGGACTATATTCCCTTGTATTCTGCATTTGTTGAATGGACTTGTAAAGGGTAACCGCCATTTCACATGTGATGAGAGGCCATGAGAACTCGGGGCATTTAATTGGAAAAGTCTTGACCCAAATAAAAATGGTGAATGAAGGTAAATTTTATTGTGAATTGCGGTCCATAATGTATTGTAGTTTAGGTATCAAAACGATGTTGTTTTGTTTAATAAAAAGAAACGACACTCGTTTCGCGCCGTTTCACAAAAAGTAATCATGTTATTCAGTTTTATTTTATATACATTGCAGTTTCATTTCAACACAATTACAATATCATTTTGATATAACTACAGTTCTGATGGAAATATATACTCAAATATGTTAAATTGTTATTCAGTTTCATTTTGTATACATTACAGTTTCATTTCAAAATGATATAACTAATGTGCGTGTGTTGTGTACTTAAGTGCGTCAGATTAATACTTAATGTACGTTCACCCGCATAACCGCATAAAAAATTTCAAATACACATGATCCCTTCCCTATATATATAAATATTGTGTTAGTAATATATAAATGATGAATTTTTATAAAGTAAATTGTGAACCTTTGAACTCTGGTCAACTTTGCGAGGCAGTCCACAAAATAATTTGCGCATGCTCTTATTGGCCAAGCGTAATTCATAAACAGCGGCGTTGGCGGGCGGAGAACAGAAATACGGAGTAGCACTTCCATTTTTCAGCCACCGAGTCTCAGCCAGCTAGGGTTTTTTTTGCTGCGATTCCAGAGAGGGAGGGATGAGCGAGACTTCTGTAGGCTTTAGCCATGGCGAGCACCAAAGTTCAGAGGATTATGACTCAACCATTGTACTTCTACTAAACCTTATTTTTGAGCTGCTTTATGTTCTCATACAGTTTCATTTTCATGTTCGTTTAACTTAATCGCTTGTAAGCAGAAATTTCGCATTCAGATATGGCTTTTTGAACAGAAGGATCTGAGAATCGAAGGCGGCATTATTGTAAGTATTTCTATTCGTGTTCCTAGGCTCCTAGCTTACGCTCTATGCTCCATATTGCCAGTAATTGTGTCCCGACAAGTTTGCGAACCTATATATTGATATCAAAGTTGAACTTCTTCCGTTATTTAGTGGCTGCTATTGATTCCTTGTAACTATTATTTTTTGGCTTAATGCTAATGCTAATAGGGTTTCGAGTGTGCTTATATTTAAACAAATTAACTCAATTATTTCTGGTGGGTTTTGCTGAGTTAGTTTTTGCATGTTGAGATTCGGTAGGCATCCATATTATAGAATGTTTCATTTTCCAGCATTTAAAACTGTGTTGCCATGGGGCTTGATAAGTTATTGGGAAGATTCATCTTTACTAGGTAACAATAGTTGATACTATTAGATAAGCAGGGGCTAGGATGTGCCCTGACTTGTGAAATGTGAGCACTTAATCAATTTAAGCAATGAAGTGATGTGAGCCAGAAGAAATTGCTCAAGACCTGTAAAGTGAGGCAAAGGCACAAACATGTGCTTTGCTGCGTATTTCTTGTGAATTGTGAAGCAGTCATAATTCATAAAGTGTGCTTGCGTTAAATTTGATAAAATTCAGCTGGCAATCCCTAGAAATGAGCCTCAAATTGGCAGGTATTCTAACCACAAGTCCCTAAGACTTAGGCACTTAGCTGCAGATCAGTCAAAACTTTTGGAAATACGCCACATGTTGATGGAAATGAACACTCTCTACTCTACCCTTAAATTTCTTATTTCCTTTTCTCCTTCTGAACAATCACAGGCTTGGTTGGACCGTGCTCTTTTTTTTTTTTGTTTGTTTTCTTTTGTTTTGTTTTTTTGTTTTTGTTTTATTGTTTTATTGTTTTATTGTTTATTGTTTTGTTTTTGTTTTTGTTTTGTTTTGTTTTTTTTTTTTGTTTTTTTTTTGTTTTTGTTTTTGTTTTTGTTGCAAGCAGAGGCTATAATCATATTAACACCTCTCATTTTTAACTGGACATTCCAAGTCGCCAACTATTCAATAGAATTCCCTGTCCAGTCTTTTTCTCCTTTTTTCTTGTTCTTCCGATGAACATCAATTTTATTAGAATTATTGTCAATCTTTATTCAAATTTTGAACAATCATAATTTGAAATGGTATGTTCTCTTTTTTATTTGTCCATTTTTTCTTCTTCTCTAAATCTTTACTTCTTTTTCTGAATATTCATTCTTCTTTTCTTTAAATCTTTTTGTTCTCACATACTCAGTGAAAAAAAATGTTGATTAATGTTAAACTAGAAAAATACAATCATATGAACCTGGTTTTTACATGATTTTCATTGTTATATATTTGGCTTCTTTTTTTTTTGCTTGATCGAACACTTCATGTGTTCTTTTATTTCTCATAATTTGTACATGATTTAAATAGCATTTGGTAGTTTTTAAGTATTAAAACTACTCATTGGATACTTAAAAGCATCTTTTGCACCTTAATCCACAGAAGCCATTGCTTTATTGTGCGTTGTACTTAAAAAAAAAAAAAAAAAAAAAAAAGAAGCTTCCCACGGGTTTGAAAAAGCTACTATGTTATTTTTAGATGGTTCCTGCATAGCACAAATGTTTAATGAATGGAAACTACTTTCAATTTTATTTTTGTTTTTGAATAAATATAAGTGATGTGGATGATGTGTCAGTTAGGATTTGAATGATTTAAAGGCACTTTTGGCATTAGATGCTTGCCATGCAGGTATGAAATAGGAATAAACTTGTTGAGTTTCTATTTGCAAACACTCTTGCAGTCTTGCTTTTGGATACTCTTACTCATAATGGGTTTTCAATGGGTGAGCTAGTAGTGGATAATTATCTTATATCTGCACCTGCAAATAATCATACGAGTTGCATGTTACAATATGCTATACTCTTTTATTAATGCAGTGCTATGTTGGGTTGAGTTTGCAGCTGGATGTCGTGACTCGTGAGTTTGGTCTCACTGGCAAATGAATTTGGTTCTTGATGATGCTGAGGAAGTAAATATAAAGAAGAAGAGCAGAAAGAAACTAGGTGAATAACAAGATTCTGGCTGCATGTGAAAGTGTTATACCCCATATTCCCCCTCAAGATTGATTAATGCTAAGAAGAAAAGACTACATAAAGCAAAATTGCATTTTACAGAGCATTTGTCTGATGCTTTTATGCTTTTTGTGCAGGATGCATACTTTTGAAAGGCGACAATATCACCCTTATGATGAATACGTATATGTACTTCCTTGATTCACTTTAGAACTGATTCAGTAACATAGTAACTTCTGTTATTGTAATTTATACTGACTGGCATTATTTATTTATTTTGTTTAGGGGGAAGTAACATCTTGGAAGTTGTGTGCCGAGCTCACCTGCACATGTTGTATTATTATGGCCATGTGATTGAAAATCTTGTGAACTAATATCGTCACCATAATGTATCCTAGGGACTAGAGCATCATCACCAGGCATGTACTTATCTTTGATGCACTATTGCATTGTCTTTGAGTGGGGTATTGACTGTTGTATACATAACTAAACATTTAGCTTTGATTTGAATAGCATATATCAATGATGTTCCTGATATTATTCTTTTCCCCTATTCATATGGCAGGAAAGTGATGCTTGCGCTGCAACTTCTTTGGTGTATATTGTATGACAAAGTTACCCTTATTGCAGCTTTCTTTCCTTTGCATGGAGGTGTTTAAATGCCTTGCACAGTTGTATGTGGTATGGCTTCCTTCATCAAACTAATAGGATACATTTGATTAATAGCATAGTAGTAATACTAAAAAAAGTTTATTTCCAAAAATAAATAAGTACACAGAAGTTCAACTGATACTGGAATAGTAATCCCATTAAAGAGCATCTTCAAGTGAACTACAGAAGTACATGAAGGTATCCGATATGATCCGACATTTAAAATTTTCTTAATTATCTTTAAAGTTTGAGGAAAACGAACTCTTCAACTGCAGGCACCTCCCCTATCTTCTTAAGGGAATCCTTGTCAGGCTCTTCATCAACTCCAATAGCCATGATGGCCTTTGTCCTCTTAACGGTCCTTCCCACGCTCATAAAGCTCACATTCACATTGTTCTCGCCAAGAATGTTTCCTACGCTCCCAATCATTCCAGGCTGGTCAGTTTGGCGACACAGTATCAAGTTTCCCTCTAAGCTCACATCAACGCTAAATGATCCAACACAAGTAAGATGAGGTATTCCATACTTCACTCTCCCCTCAATGCTAATATTTCCATTGTTCAATAAAGCACTCGCAAACTTGGATTCAACGTTACTTATTTGCACCTGGATTGTCTCAACTGGGTGCTCCTTAGATGAGTCAACAACTATGCGTTCCTCGCTTATCCTAAGACCCTTCTGCTTGGCAGTGAAATCTGCATTCACAAGGTTGATGATTGTGTCTGATATAGGCTCAATAATCCCTTTTGTTACCATGGCTCTGAGAAGTCTCGTGTCCAAGTTGTCAGGGTCCCTGGCTGTTTTATAGACTATCTTAATGGACTGAATTCCACTCCCTCCAGTCACCAGCTGTACAGCCAACCTACCCAGCTTCTCAGCTAGCACAACATAAGGAGCCAACTCTGACAAAACCTGATTACAGGAGTACGAGGTTAGGTTTACAAGTTTTAAAACTATCCTTAACTACTTGTGTTTAGGGGAAAAAACTCTTAGGTTTACAATCACACCAAAGAGTAGAGAAAATCAAATGGCCATATGGCAGTAGTGTAGGTTACCTCAGGAGGAACCATTGGGGCATTAACAGCAGTAGCAGAAAGTTCTCCTTTCAAAGCACCAACCACAGCTTCAGCTATTTCAACAGCAACTCCTTCCTGAAATTTACGATCAACGATTTAATAAATTAAGACTAGAAGAAGAAAAGCAGATGATGATATGCAAAGAAGTGCAGATATAGAGGAACATAAAGAATTATTACCTGTGCTTCCTTTGTGCTAGCTCCCAGATGAGGTGTGACAGTCACATTTTCATGCTGCACTAATTTGCTATCTTTGGGTGGGGGCTCCACTGCGAAAACATCTAGGGCTGCCTGTTGCAATGATGATGAATGGTGAAGACTGAGTTATGATCAAGGTTGCAAAAATCGCGCCTAGGCGCTAGGCGGTAGGAGGCCACCGCGAGGAATGGCCTCGGCGGCCTCCTCCGCGGCCGGCCGCCTAGACCGCTTAACCGGCCGGTTCGGCTTTTTTTTTTTTTTTTTGAAAATGTCGAAAAACTTTCGGAAGGCATAACTTTTGACTCGGTTGTCCGATTTGGACAATTTTTTTTTCAAAACACGTATTTTTTTCGAGATCTATACACTGCAAACTGCCAAAGGCGGTTTGGTCCACTAATTTTTCAAAAAAATGCTTCTCTTAATTTTAGTTTTTTATGTATTTAGATGGTTTCAACAATCTTTTGAACAATTTTACAACCACTTTTGTAAATAGTTTCTAAGAAATAACTATGGAAACCTTATATTTTAGTACTAAATTTTGAAAATTTTTAATTTTAAAATTTTTTTTAATTAAAAAAAAAAAAAAAAAAAATCGGCGCCTAGGCGCCCCCTTGGCGCCTAGGGGGCACCTAGCCTTTTTTGCAACATTGGTTATGATAGACAGGCAAGCATGAGAACCAACAATAGACACCAGGCAAGAGGTAGTGATGTAAAGTGGGTTGACTATATCCAAACCAATATTTTTTTTTTTTGGGTGTACCAGGATTTCTACCATCGAACATAATGACTAATCCTCTTGTTGAGTTGTAGGCACCTCTTTTGGGTGTGACAGTTGGCCTGGAGATTTAAGGCTGCTCCATACCCAAAGCTAAGGATCGAACCTTTGGTTAAGGACGAATGAGTCCCTTTCACATATGGGTCTGGTAGTATTGCAAGTTATGCCTATCCAATCCACATTTTCAAAGGGTCGGCCCAAGCGCACTATAGCGCGTAGGCTGAACCTGGGACCGGACCAACTCATGTGAGTCTAGCCCATATTATCATCTTTAGCGAAAGTTGCAGATTCTAATGAGGTTGTTGGTGATTAGGGATAAAATGAGAGTGAAAGCAAAGGAGCACGAACATACATACCTGTGCAACAGCTCCCGTGTCAAGGGCCCTAACTAATGCATCTTCATCAATAACACCACCTCTAGCAACATTTATAAGGCGCACTCCTTTCTTCACCTTTGCAAATGTTTCGTCGTTAAATATGTTTTGAGTAGCAGGAGTAAGAGGCATATGAAGCGAAATGAAGTCAGCGGTGGAAATGGCTTGGTCAAAAGAGACCAAATCAACTCCGGCGGCATGAGCCCTATCAGCTGGAGCATAAGGATCATGTGCAATAACATGCATGCCCAGCCCCTTTGCCCTCCTTGCTACCTCCGACCCAACTTTTCCAAACCCCATAACTGCTAGTGTCTTCCCAACCAGAGAGACACCCACATACTTGCTCCGCTGCCATTTACCTAGGAGATAAACATATAATCAACTTAATTCCAAGTTCAAGACTTATGAAACCCTTCGATCTAATTTCATGTTTCCAATAATTCAACAAATGTTTTAACTCAATGAAACTACACATTTATTATGTTGTATATATTAGGAAAAGTAGCAATTTACATCCATGCATTTATATGAATTATGATTTAAGTTCTAAAATTGTTAGTATTTTTTATAAATACAAGAAAAAAAAAATGCTATTTTCCCCATATAGTATGTTCAACACAAGTGAGAAGTAACTTCTTTTTCTCTCTCTACTTGAAGGAAGCTTTTCTTTTCCCATACTAAAATTTGTTCCATCACACTCTACAGTACCATCAATCATATTCCCAGTTTTTAGTAGTTAGTAGTGGAACCAAAAAGACTCTAGCTATGATTGAAAAAAAAATAAAAGATGCGCTACATTCAACCTCCACCGAACCATTAATCATATTCCCAACTCCCAAGTGGAGCAGAAAGGCCAAACCACATTGAAGTTCAAAATATGCCCCCATCGTGGTCTCCAGGGGGGGGACCCTTACCACATCAGAGCATAGTATCAAGAAAGTGGAGTAGCTCTGTAAACATGCTTTCAATTGAGTTCAACACTTTCACGTCTCTTTACCACCTGGCAGCCTCTAAGCCCTTCTATTCCCACAATTATTTTATATTCTTAAAGATATTTCGTCGTATATAATAAGATATTTTTACTATGCCAAATGGTATCAGCACCAATATTGCTAGTATCTTATACAACTAAGCATACTCATACTTATATTAGATACCCCTTGACACTAATATTGATCAACCCATTAAAGAATACCGACAGAATTATATTATCCTTTGATATTATTCCCTTTCTATATATTTTTTTTAATTAAAGAAGATATATAAAGTATTATTGAACATGATTTTATTTTGTGAATCTTAGTACAGTATCGATCTATGAATAAAAAACTCCCAATCATTTCACGTTGCTGTCGGGAATAGTTCAACCCAACAACTCATTAAGACCAATAAAATATTCACATGTCAAAATTTGAAGAAATACAATCAAAGCCCACCTACCGACGTGTAAGTCCAATTATTTAAGGTTGAAGGTTACCATTTATTTTTAATATACAATATCCAATCTCTATCACTCTAAAATTAAAACTAATTTAGACCAAACATGAGTTCTGACTTAGAAAGTTGGTACTTACATCTTGAAATTATATGAAAAATTCACTTAATAACCAGTCAATTACCCAGTGTTGTAGAAATCGACCTAGACAGCCTCCTAAACACTAGACGCCTATAGGTTGAGGCAATTTCAATCCTAGGCGGTTTTTAGTTGGCCGGCCAACTAACCGACTGACTAGGCGTCGAGTTGGACACCTAACTAGGTCGAGTTGGCACTCAACTCGGTCGAGTGGTTTGTTTTGCAATTGATTAGTTTGAGAGATTATAACATACTAACAACTCTCAACCTTAAGAGGGAAAAGTAGAAACAATATATTCGTATTACTCGGCTGCCTAGGCACCGTCTAGTTGCTCTAGGCGCCCGAGTAGCGCTTTCTGCAACATTGCAATTACCAATTTTGAGTGAACACTCTGTAAAGAAATAATATTTACTTCTGACCTCTTGTATGTTTAAGAGTCTAAAATTGCATAACATAACTATAATTAAAAACATTTCGCAATATTGTACATAAAATTAATGTATTCTCAGAATAAAATGTTACGGAGTACAAAGTTTCTAATATTTAAAATAAGACATTTATAGGTCTAGAAAACAAATTTTGATGAAAAATGCTATCGGAACATTAAATGCTGATTAAATATTCTATAGATCTATAAAAAAAAATTTCCTACAAACTATATATTATTATTCTTAAATTTATGTGTTTGATCAAGAGCAATAATATTTTTGGGACATAATTAGTACTTACATATGAGACACTGGTGTAAATTATCAAAATAATCCTATAATATAATGATTTCACCATTCAAATTTATACATTTTTTTTTGAAAGACAAATTTATACATATTTTAATCCTCTGTTTTATTTAAATTTTTGTCTATTTTATTCCCGATGCTAATAAAATAAATATGAATTTGATAGTTTTTTTTTTAAATATAAATTTGATAGTTAAATGATATTATTAGACAAAAGATAAAATGACATTTTTTGTCAATCAGTTATGACCAAATTCTAGATTTAGTCCTTCATTTAATAGAGTGGTTGATTTGATCCTTCAAAAACTAAATCTGCCACTTTGATAATAAGTCAAGGACTATATGCATCACAAATAATTGATGAATTAAATCTCATAATTGAATGACTAAAAGTGCTATTTTCTCTAGATGAAATTAAAATTTAAGTAACATAAGTAAATAATGAATGCCAGGACTATGTGGTCTAATGGTACCCGGATTGGACTTCCATTTGTAAGATTATGAGTTCAAGCCTCAGTGGAGGCGAAAGTATATGAACAGATACTACAATGTAATAGAGCCAGTAACTTTTAAAAAAAAAAAAAAAAAAGTAAATAATGAATGCTTATTACTAACAAATTTCTATCACATGTAATCTCAAATTATACTTTCTCACTTTTAATGTGTCAAACAAGATAAAAAAATTTGCACTACCAAAAAGAAAAATCTTACCAGCTTTCATGGAGGCATCGGCCTGAGCAACGTTGCGAGCCATGGAGGCAAGCAAGGCGATGCCGTGCTCGGCGGCGGCGATCGTGTTGGCCGTAGGAGCATTGACGACAAGGCAGCCAAACTCAGTGGCGGCCTGCAGATCAACATTGTCGATCCCAACGCCGGCCCTTCCAACCACCTTGAGGCGGCCCTGCGCGGCCTCGAAGATCTGGCGCGTGACCTTGGTCCCGCTCCGAACGATCAGCGCGTCGAACTGCGAGATCTTCGCGCAGAGCTCCTCCGGCGACAGGTCGTAGGAGCAATCCACGTCGCCGAATCCCCGGAGCAGCTCCAATCCCGCCTCTCCCAGTTTCTCGGAGACGAGAACTCTCGGCTTCGGAAACGGAACGGAGGCGAGATCCGCCGCCGCGGAAACGGAAGTGTCGGCGGATTCAAGCGTCTGGAGAACGCTCCGGACGAGAAGGCGATGAGAATTAGGGGATCGCGGAAGGGAAGAGTGGAGCGGGATGGAATTCCCGGAGGAACGGAGGACGGAAAGGCGGGAAGGTTTGAGAGAGTGGGAAGAGGAAAAGGAGGGAGTTAAGGAACGAAAATGGAGGGAAGTCCTGGAAACCGCTGCCATCTTCAATATTTGAGCGAGTTTGTTTTCCACTTTGAGAGTATAAATAAATATTTGTGAGCAGCGGCGGCGGCGGGCGGAGAAATGGGAGCAGAAAAGTCGAAGAAGGCAGGAAAATTACAGTGTGGCTTCTAAATGAACTTCAATTTCAACTAATTTTCCCATATCATTCTAATTATTGTTTCCAAAAGGTTAAATAATCTCGGTCTGGATCTAACCTTTGCTTATTGTGCATAAAAAATTCTTTTTTTTTTTTTTTTTTTTTGAGAAGTTACTCACTGTATCATTGGTGAGACTCATCTCAGATAATTGTTTGATCTCAAAATTTTATCTAACTTTATGATCAATTGAGCTGTCCATGTGAACATATCACTCTAATTATGAACTTATGGACTTTTATGGTACAAAATTCCAAGTTGAGTTTCAAGCAAAGTTAGAATTGTATAGTATGTACTTATGGCTACTATTCAAAAATGGTTCAAAGGGAAGAAAAAAAATTATATACAATATTTCAAATTTGAAATAAACTATTATATATTTTTAGAATTATTGATTCAAATTATAGAACAATATGTTTTGAATTTTATATTCCGAGAAATAATATATGTATAAACTCTCATTATGTGTCACGATCCAATTGATAGAAGAGAAAGATGGTAATAAAAATTGTGTCATGTCATTTTTATTGATGAGTAAGAATATGCCACCTAATGAAAGTAAGCAATAATGGAGTAAGTAATAAACAAATTAAAGTTACTATTATTTAATAAGTTTAGTCAAAACACGATATTTGTTTTAGTATGTAAAAATGTTACAAATAAAGTGTTTAAATATGCAAATTATATATAGTTGTGATTGGCTATCAAACATTATTAAGATGACATTTTATTTGAAAACAATCAAGTACTATACAATTATTTACTTAAAGCAAGAAAGTAATAGTCAATAGTAAAAGTTGGATTCGTGTATATTAATAAGGAGACCTATACGTTTAGACCATTGGTTTATTATATTAGGCA